ACGTCAAATAGGAAAGAAACAGAGCCAAGTTTTTTGTTTTTTTTTTTTCTCTCTCTTGTCCAAAGAATGAATCATCCTTCTCCCAAAATGGTTACAAAGTCCAGAGGGAGTTACGTTGCCTGTTTGGCTTAGGAAGAAGACATTGGAGAAAAGGAAATAAATTATTATTTCTGCTAGATATAAAACTGAAATGAGTCCTCAACCCCAGAGTGTTAATTATTTCTTCTGTCATACAAAGATAATCCTTATTCTTAAATTCAGACATTTTAACTTTATACAGATAGTGAGCACTTAATATGCTTCTTTTGATACCTCTTCAGACAAAAACATGAGCTAAATTGTATTTTTATCATTTTTCTCTTTTCTTCCTCTCTCCCTCTCTATATTATTCATTCTTTAATCTTCTGTTTCAGTATGAAACAAATCAATCCCAAGTGAAAGAAGAAAAGATATTTAAATCCCTTTTTTTCTGCTAAGAATTTATCATGCAGAATATGCCTTTACTGTGCTGAATGTTTTCCCCAAACAACTTCTGACTTCATTAGATCATGTTTAATATTAATGTACTGCAATTGCTTTTGGGCAAGAGGTCCTTCACTTCTCCATTCTTCTGAGCAAAGAATATTGTGGTTGATTTTTTTTCTAATGGAATGAAATGTTTGTTGCTATTTTATAATAATTGCTTTCTTTGATACTTGCTGTTAATCACCCCCTTCCTCCACCCCGCCTATGAATAGCTGGGCCACTTTGGGGTATGTGTTTATGGATTTAAGTATTTCCTTCATTCTGGAAAATTTGCTGGAAGTCAATGCTCACTACAGAAACAGGTTTGAACTTGCTGAGAGATGTCTCAGACTGCTGTATATTCTGTTATGGATATTTAACTAAGTTTGTAACTAAATGAGTTTCCAATAGGAAGTAGAAAATTTTGCCATAGGCGAGTCCCTGGAATCACATTAGGACACAGCCTTCCTCCTGCAGTAAAAACAACTCAGAGTATGGTGAGCATCTTTGTGAGTTAGTTTTTTTTCTACGTATGTCAGTATGTCATTTCCTTTGTAATAGTTAAGTCAGGGTGGATCATGAGCCAATAACAGAAGTCCTGTTTCACTGAATGATTCTGTAGGTTTCTGTTTAATGCAGTATCTGTTAGATTAACTTCTAACTACTTCCTTTCTATATATTTTAAAAATAAGATCCTCAAATCAGCTGGGCTCGGTGGCTCAGCCTGTAATCCCAGCACTTTGGGAGGCCAAAGTGAGTGGATTGCCTGATCCCGCGGGTTCAAGACCTGCCTGGGCAACTTGGCGAGACCTCATCTCTACAATAAATCAAAAATTAGCCAGGCGTGGTAGCACATTCTGGCTACTTGGAGGCTGAGGCGGAAGGATTGCTGGAGCCAAGGAGGTCGAGGCTGCGGTGGCCGGGAGCGTGTCACGGCAATCCATTCTGGGCGACAGAGTGAGACACCAACTCAAAAAAAAAAAAAAAAAAAAGATCCTCAAATCAAGGAAACTAGATTCTTGGTTTGACTCTAACCCAGGCACACTTTTGTGACATTTACTTCTAAGTATTTTATATTTTGATGCTATTGCAATTTTTTTTAAATTTTGTTTAATTTTTAATTTTTTGTGTTTATTTGTAGTTAGGCAATTTTGTATTACTGGTCTTATATGCAGCAAACTTACTGCTAAATGTACTTACTATTCTAAACTCATTTGTAGATTCTTTGAGTTTTCTACATACACAATCATATGAGCAAAGACAATTTTATTCCTACCTTTCCTTACCTTACACATTTTACCTCTTCTGCCTGCCTTATTGCTCTTTGGCTAGGATTCACCATGTAGTGCTGAATAGGAGCAGGAATAGTAAACATTCTTGGTCTCACTCTGGACTGGAGGTGTAAATCTCAATATTTCACAGTTAACTATGCTGTTTGCTTGCTTTATTTGGTTTTTATAAATACCATTCATCAAATTCAGGAAGTTTTCTTCTCTTTCTACTTGGCTGAGATTTTACATAATGATTAAATTTTGGATTTTATGAAGTAGTTTTACTACTTGACATCAATTGAGGTCATCGTAGGATTTTTCTTCCTTATTCTATTAATATGGTGAATTATATTGATTGCTTTTTGAATGTTAATTTGTCCTTCGATTCCTAGGAGATTCGTACTTGGTGACAATACAGTGTCTTATTATGCAGTGTGGAATTTGACTTGGGACTAGTTAAATTTTTTTTTTTTTTAATCTTTGTTTCTGAGAGACTTGACTCTGCTTTTGTGTGATTGTGTGATGTCCCTATCCGGTATTGGTATCAAGGTTATGCCAGATTCATAAAATAAATTGAGAATCTATTCCTTGGAATAATTTGTGTAAAATTTATTTCTTAAATCTTTGGAATTATGAATTGTAGACAATGAATTCATTTTTAAATAGATATAGAACTACTCAGATTTTTAATATTTTCCTGCCAGTTTGGCAAGTTGAGGTTTTCTAGTGGTGTTCATTTCTTCTAAATTTGAAAACTGGCCAGTTGCGGTGGCTCACACCTGTAATCCCAGCACTTTGGGAGGCCAAGGGAAGGAGGATTACTTGAACCCAGGAGTTCAAGACCAGCCCAGGCAACGAGACTTCATCTCTATAAAATAAACAAACAAATAATAAATTTGAAAACTTAATAAAATAAAGTTGTTCTTACCTTTTAATGCTAGGAGAATCTGCACAGTTTCATTACTAATATTGGTAAATTATGACTTCTCTCTCTTTTTCAGTCGTTTTCAAAACTATTTTTATTAGTCTTTTCTAGGAATCAGCTTTTTGTTTTATTGATTTTTTTCATATGTGTTTTTTTCCTATCTTTGTTTTGCTTGTGTCTTTATTATATCCTTGTTTCTGCCTTTTAAAGCTGAATATAATGTTCTTTTTAAAAACATTTTATGACTTTAAGGTATAGCATTTTCTCAAGAGTACAACTTTAGCTGAGGCTCACAATTTTAAATGTCATGTTTTCATTATCCTTCATTTAAAGGTATATTTTGATTTTCTCTTTTACCACAAGCTATTTAGAAGTGAATTGTTGTTTTTGTGTATTATTGAGTTTTAGACTATGTTCATGTAGCCACAGAATTTAATTCTATATTGCAATACTTTGAAATTTGTTGGGATTTGAACTATGCCTCAACAGATGGTCAGTGTTGGTAAATGTTTCATTTGTAATAGAAAAGAAATTATAGTCTGCCATTTTTTATAACAATGTTCAATATATGTTAATTAGGTCAGGTTTGTTGCTCATGTTGGTCAAATATTCTATATCTTTGCATACTTTTTCCTGCTGATTCTTAGAGTTGCTGAGAGACATGTGTTCAAATGTCCCACTCTAACTTTGGATTTCTTTCTTTATCCAGTTTCATCAGTTTTTACTTTGTATATTTAGAAGCTGTACAATGAGGGCATACAAATTTAGAATTGATATATCTTCCTGAGGATTGGTCTATTAATAATAAAGAAATATTTGCCTGAATCTCGTGTATTTCTTCTTGTCTGTTTTGTCTGATATTAGTAAATTACACCAACTTTCTTGTGTTGGTATTCACGTGTTGTATCTTTTTCTACTCTTTTACTTTCTACCTTCCAATATCATTATATTTAAGATGATGAACTATATACTGTCATGTGTTTTCTAAAATTCAGTTTGACAATTTTAATCTTTTAAAGATATAGACCTCATCTCTGGGTTCTGTAGGTCTCAGACCATGTGCTTGGATTGGATACCACAGTTTTCCCTCACTGGATACTTCATTTCCCATTGCCCCTTTTATAGTTTTCCCTTCTTCTTTATTTATTTTTCATTTTTCCCTCCTTCATGATTGGCATTAAGGTTACACCGAAAGCTAGAGATATAGCAGTGTGTTAGTCAATAGATATGGAGATTTTTAGAGTATTTAATCATTCATCATTAAGTAAAACTTTTCTCTCTCCCTGTGAGTCTGTTAATCTGGGTTTGGGATGCAGGAGAAGAGTGTAACAGATGGTAACTCTTCCCTTTCAGGAGTTTGTGGCAGGTCATTCATGTTGGTAAATTACCTTGTAATCTAAACCTATAATTTAGACCCAACTTGTGAATCTTTATAATTAGGTAATAGTATGTTACTTCTAAACTGTGTATGATACTTGGAAGATCAGAAATGGACTTCAGGTTAACCACCTTGTCAGATTCCTTTGCTGTTGACAACGGGATTGCACAATTTAGTTGTGAAAAGAAGGAAATTTATATGTAAAAACTAATAATGTGATGAATGGGGAATATGCTCTGTGGTCTCTTAAAGAAAATAGTGTTGAGTTGGAGTCTCACTCCATTGCCCAGGCAGGAGTGCCATGGTACACTCACAACCACCCCAGCGTTGATCTGCTGGGATCCGACGATCTTTCTGCCTCAGCTTTCCAAGTACCTGGAACTACAGGCATGTGCTGCCACGCCCAACTAAATTTTTATGTATTGTAGAGACGAGGTCTCGCCAAGTTGCCCGGGCTGGTCTCGAACCCATGGGCTCAGGCAATCCACTCACTTCGGCCTCCCAAACTACTGGGATTACAGGCTGAGCCACCGAGTCCGGCCTTGACTAGATTTTAAATAGATTATCATTCATTTTCATTTTGAAATCACTTAAAACCAATGTATATGTCATTTTTGTGTTTCTGTGTGGGCTGGGAGAAAGCTATACCCTTTGTTCCTTTATCCCTAATCTCTGTTTCATACAGTGTGCTAGGGTCAGTTAAGCTTCAGAGCATAACACCTGAAGAATAGTGAGGTTGGGAGATGGTATATGAAGCGTTTTCTAAAAATTGCCACTTGGATGTTACACTGAGGAGTCTTCTGGTCCAGATGAGAAACAGGAAGGAAAAACTTAGATGAAGAGGCCAGAAAATATTGATTTTCCTGGCCCCTGTCCTTGCTTGGCTGGCAAGTTTAAGACCATTTTTATTTGTATCTTTCAGGGAGTATCCTTTTCCAGTGGATGACCATGGAATCAGAGAAGATCTCAGAGAAGCAGGAAGAAATTCTTTCTATCCTGGAGGAAAAATTTCCTAACTTGCCTCCAAGAGAGGACATCATCAGTGTTCTGCAGGAGACCCAGTTCAGTGCCCAGGGTGAGTGACTCTGTCTCCTGCTCTTTCAACCGGTAAGGGTGGTTTGTGGTATAGAGCATTGGGCTGAGAAGGGACATTGGAGTGTGCTTTTTCCCTATCACTCGTGCTTGGGGAAGGTTTTCAGACACATAGTGTTGGCTCTCCTCAAATAGGCAGCCCGTAGCCTCTCCTCGGAGGCCTTCATGGGTGGATATGCAGTTAGTCCATGTGTCTGATGCATACCCCAGACACACCATTACATGTAGTCCCTGTGCTGATAGGACTCTATTTTGAGAATTTGGCAGGAGCAATGTGAGGCACAGTGGGGTATGATAAATCAATTAATTTTTAGGAAAAAAAATAAGAAAGAAGATGGTTAAGCTGATAAAAAGGTTTTCAAAGTCTAGGTTTCATCAGGACAGTGAATTTCCTGAATCAATTGTGTTATAAGAAAAAGTAGCTATCATTCATTGAATGCCTAATATATATAAGGTTCAATGGGGTAACTTTGCAAGGATGACCTCACTGAGTCCTCATGACAACCCTGAGTCAGGTGCTTTGTTATCTGTCATCTCCAGTTGAGAACACTGAGGCATAGAAAGGCTTCTTTGGTTTCCCAACATCATATAGCCATCAAGCGGCCAGGCTAGGATTTAAATCCAGACTGTCTATCTCTATGGTGTAAACACTGAACTGCATATCTTTCTCTCTTAGTTTGGATCCCCTGAGAGCAGAGTCTGAGCAAAAAGCCTGTGGCAGGTGGTCCCAGGCAGCCCTGATAGGGGAATAGAGTGCTTTATCAAGCAAGTTAGCTCCGGGGACCCATGAGAAGCTGTGCAAAACTGCAACCAGAGTTATCCCACCTGAAGGATAAGCAAAACCCAAGGAGCATGCTCACTTGGGTTCCGAAAGCAGATGGTTAAATTTTCAGAAATTCTGCAAGTTGGTTGATGTTTGCTTGGTGGCGTGAGATCAACCATGGTGGGAATACTTACACCACAGATATTGACAAACACTACATGTCGGGTTTTGTGCTGCTTGTTAAACATTTACCAGAAAACCACTGGAATGGTGAGGGCTACTCAGTCTTCAGAATAGGCTCTGGTGACCAGAAAAAGCCACGAGGAAAAGTGATGCAGGTGCTGGTGATTGAGCATTGTTCTGGGCACACTGGGATGGGAAAGTCTTAAGAAATGGGGTGGGACACCCACAGTATCCACTGCACCTTTTGTTACCTGTGCACAAGTGTGGATGTACATATGTGTACAGCTGCACAAGGACATGCTTTTTGTCATTCATTTTCAAAACTGCACCAAACTTTTAATGTCACGATACATTTGGTAAATCATTTTATGCTGCAGAAGGGTTGTGGCTCTTCGAATTTTGAGTCAAAGAAAAATATTGAATACCTGTTTCCCCATGCTGCTGGGATTGACAGAGTGTTCTCAGGGGTGAGGGCAAGCAGTCATCTCTGACGTCTCAGCATACATCTGGGAAGGATACTTGTGCTTTACTAGGCTTTATTATGGGTCTTCTTCCCCAGAGGACAGGTCTAATCAGACCTAATAATGTAGTGTAAGAATTAAATGTCAAACCAGCCCCTTTCCCGTTTTGCTGTGATAGATTTCAGCTGACTGCAACTATGCAGTTATGGATAATTTAGCCATTCAGGATTATTACTCCTGCCAATTAGAGAATTCTATAACTCCTATTGCCATAGCCTGTTACAAGCATGAGCAACTTAATTATGACCGTTTTATGAATCACATCTATAAACTGCATTTTGAATAAAATTATACTAGAAAACATGGCGGCTCACCTAAATGCATCCGGAAAGAAAATTTTGGCTTTGTTTGGTATTATTTAACTAGTTTGCATGAGTATGCTAGTTTTTCTTTAGTTGCCCACCTCCACCATTCCTTCCCTGCCCTTGTCTATTCTGGGCCTCCAGATGCCAACTCCTGAGTATTTAACACTCTGGGCTCCCTTGACATTGGCGGGCAAGGGAGTCCAATGGGTTTGGCTAATGGGAAGAGTTAGTAACAGGTGAGGGTGAAGCGAAGAACGAGGCTGTAAGTAGATCTTCCCTGCTTTTCCTGCTTTGGTGATAACTTTCTGGCAGTCAATCTTCTCCATTTCCGGATCTCTCTTTCTTTTCTTTGTCCCTTTGCTATTCTCTCGATGCCTCACCATCTTTCATTCACAGTATCCATCCTGCCCACATCTGTAAGTATCTTGCCATTTAAAAAGTCTTCTTTTGTAGCATGAAGATAAATTCTCTTTCCTGCTGGGATCCTATCAGATGCAGATATTGTCACTAATGTGATTATTGCCTTAACGTGTGTGTGTGTGTGTGTTATTATGGAAAAAAGTGATATTAGAAGTAAAAATATTGAATCTAAAAGGGTGTATTTTTAAAAAAATTCCTTGATGTTGCAAAACAAAGCTCTTTAAGTATTACATAGTATTTTTTTCCCTCTCATCCACAGGTTTAAGTATTGAACAGACAATGTTGAAAGATCTAAAGGAATTGTCAGATGGAGAAATAAAAGTGGCCATTAGTACTGTGAACATGAACCTTGAGGTAAGGGTGGGTATGATTTTTCAGCAGTAATAGATTTCACACAATTGCAGCCAGAGCAACTGGAATACAGAGCTGTTTATGGCATAAGTCAGTATCTGTCTTTTGCTGTGAATACTTCTTTCTGATATATTTGATTTCGAATGGTTTATTATTTTGAGTGAAAACACTGTGCTAAGTCAATGAAAAATGTCATACCTGGATTCTCAAGATAAATGATATTTTGTTCATCTTAGTAAAACAAAACCTAAAACACACTCAGATGTGTGCATATATTTAACCTGTTTAACAGAAACTATACCACAGGTGATTAGATTTACTTCCATATATTCTGTGTGCCACTCAGCATCGTTCATAGGACTTTACTAAAAAAAAAATAAGTTGTCCTCTGGCCTTTGTAAACTATTTGGATGCATGTCATTTGGGTAATTAGTGGTGACAATTCAAGTATTAATAAGGAAACTCCCTCTATTCTGTTGAATGAATGATTCAGCGAATGCTACTTTTGTCTTTGTGTGTTTCCCTGGTAGATTATCTTTTATCTTCTTTGGGGATTTTTAATGACTTGTATGTTCATCTTAATTGACCTAACTAATGGGAACCGTATTTTACAGAGGCACATCTCAGAGTCTGTGTATTTCTTTAGTGTTATATTGCCTTGATCGAGTTAGTTACCTTCCGTTGAGGCACCTAACACTCAAGTAAATTTTATAGAAGTAAAATTTGCTGTGTAGGAATTTGTCTTTTGGTTTTTAGAATTGAATGTTGCTATTATTTTTTTCTCATGCTGATGGAAACTATATCCATGTGTCTATTTCTATGGAATAGCAGGTATTCCTATTGCTGTCTACACCCCAGAAAACCCAAAAGCAAGCCAGCTACTTTTATCTGTGATCTTTTCATAAAAATTTTCCCAGTTGATGAACATCATAATTCAGGTTATAGGTCCGGATGAGCACTAGGATGAGGACTGTCACATTACGTAGCGCTTCTTAGTTTACACAGCATGTTCTCATTGTATGTACTTGTCAGATTGATTCACTTGTTTCTGTGGACTTTCACATTGATAAGTGCTCATGATCATCAGTGGTTGATGTGAATCAATCCAAGAAATATATTCCGTTGGGGGTATAGTAACTAGATAATCACCTTCAATTAGAAATCTGCCTTGTGCCTAGAAACCCAAGGATAACATGGATCTTGCAAGGGTCAGTAGCTCCGAGAATCATTTCTACTAGTTCAAGCCTTAGGGTTTTCTTTCTTTCCTCCCTCCCCGTCTCTCTTCATTTAATGGCATCTTATTAGGTTTTAAATGCCTTGTTTGGAATTCCTTTCTAAATTAACATAGAACATCTTATAATTGCTTAGGGAGCTGTCTGTAGTTAGCAAATTGTTTTAAGACTTTTAATATTATAGACTTAACCTTAGCTTTAATGTACCTTCATTTATATACAGGGGTATATAAATGGCTATGTCAGATATGTTAAACTGTAAATGTTTATCGAGCAGAATAAGTGTGAGATGATCATCTTAATCTTGACAGTAATTTACACAGAGGCCCAGTAATTAATCAGATGGTTAAGTACATCTCTGGAAGTGCTGCATGATCCAGGAGTAAAGAACAGGGACATTTGTATTTGTAAGAAAGGGTGCACAGTTTGATCTCTCATCACTGAATGAGATCTTTTCACTTTTGCAAAACGGATATTAAAGATGACTGAGAAATGGAGAAAGAACTCCCTAGTGATATCCTACATCTTCCTTGAAAGAGAAAAATGTACACAATTCATCCAATTTGTCCGCTGGAAAAATCCCCAATTTAAGGGCAGAGTTTGATTTTCTCTGCAGATTTTCCTGTGATACAGTGATATTTTCTCAGTCTCTACTCAGATTATATTTCAGCATTCCTTTCTCGTTCTCATTCACCTCACTTTAAAGAAATGATAGAAGTTTCATAATCTCTTATTTTGTGTGTTTTGGAATAGTTGTATGATTGCCCTTTAAATCTAGGTATATTCTCATAGAAACTTTCTTACTTCCTATGATTTTCTAAATTTTGCTTTGTCTTCCAAAGCATGGTGGACCTAGGTACTTCATGATGACTTTCATAAATTCTCCATTACCATCCTCTGAACTCTTGCAAATTGTAGTCTAGATGACCAACTTAGGACTTAAATATACATTATATCTTCCATTAATTTTGAACTCATTTCATATATTAATCGTGGTTAGACCATATTTTAAATAAGTTGAGGGTAATGATGGTATCTTTGGCTTCTTTATCCCTTCAATTTTCTGGCACAGTGATGAGCACATAGTAGGTGCTTAGTGAGTATAAATACTCAGCGAATACTTAGTTGGTTTTGCAGTGCGTCCCTTTGATATCTGGTTTTTATTTTCTTTTCATTTAAATAAGTTAAGAAAAGTGACTAGGAAAGCAAAATCACTTAGGTAGCCATCCAAGGCAACCTACTTTTCCCCCTCCCAACCAGTTTCTTCCAGAAAACTATGGCTGAAGGCTAACATCAGATGGATAAAAAATGGCCCACATATTCATAGATACTACTACATATCCTGCTGTTCAAAAAAGGAGTGGGTGGTTTTGCAAAGTAGTCAGCTGTTGTCCCTGGAAGAAATCAACTGGAGGTTCTAAGCATGTCAGGGGTGTGGGAAAGAGGATTCTTTACATATTTGATGGTCCTTTGCAATGCTGTAATTCCACAGTTGTGTAAGTCATGGTCTTTTCTTGCCTGATGACCCAGCTAATTTTCTTGGGTGGAAATATTCAGAAAATCAGAAGGATTTTTCTCCTGGCAACATACATAGCATGCCCTTTGGAGGGAACCCCTAGGTTTGGGAGGTAGAAACCACTGCCTTGAATAGATAAGTCAACTTTGGCCCTCAATGTGATAAGGAGAAAGCTTTTAAACCCCTTGTCTCTCATTTTTATTATGGTATATCTCACAAATGATAGTTGTAACCTAATCAAGATATAATGCTGAGTGAACTATCACAAAAAGCAATTAATTATAGTAACACAGAGTTTCAATGTTTTGTTCAATATTTGAGGTCAAAATAGATGTAACTTTGAGGAGCAGTGGGTACAAATGTCCTGATCAGAGCATGACTAGAGGGGCAGCCCTTCCTACAGAGAGAACTACTGGAAAATATACTGCAGTCCCATTTCACATGGACTCTGGGCCCGTCCAAGTCTGAATGTGGCTTGCATCTTGTAGGGAGTGCACATCACGTATTGGAATCCATTGGTTATTGTTGTGTCTGGTCCTCTGTACTCTTTTCGTTGCTTGCTGATTTGACTATCGGAAGACAATTTATGGGTATCAAAGCACATGTTTCACTTGGAACAAACTTTACCTTCATTCCTTTGCCAGCAGAACTGGTAGTGACTATACTTCTTGGGCCTGGTTTACTCCCTAGTAAAGCAGTACATTAAAATGTTCAGGGGAAGGAACAGATCTTTTCATTCTAATGAGGTGCCACTGAAGCAACGTTGCTCACAGCAGCACCACACTAATGGTTCCCTTGCTGACACCAACTGTTCTTAACGCTTTTTAAAGCATCTCCTGAAAGGCTATAAGTCATTAGTATCTTCACTTAGGGAGGACAATAACCAGGCACTGACTAGATCACTTTCTCTTATGATCAATAGCACTGTGATCTATTCTTGCATATATACCTTATCATAGGGCTAAGGCTGGCATAACAATGTACCATAAACTAGGTGACTTAAACAATAGAGATTTATTGTATCTTGGTTCTGGAGGCTAGAATTCCAAGATCAAGGTGTCAGCAGGATAAGTTCCTTCAGAGAGCTACGAGAGAGAATTTGTTTCCCTCCCATAGCTTCTGATGGCTTGCTGATAACCTTCAATGTCCCTTGGCTCATAGACACAGCACATTGATCTCTGCCTTCATTTTTATGTCATCTTTCTTTTGTGCATGGCTTTGTGTCCAAACTTCCCCTTTTTATATAGACACCAGTTATAATAGATTAGGGCCCACCTAATCACCTTATCTTATTACATCTACAACAACCCTATTTCCACATAAGGTCACCTTCTGAGTTGCAGGGGTTAAGACGTCAACATAAAAATTTTGTGGGACAAAATTCAACCCATAACATATGCTGCCATAAGTGTAATCATTTTCCAGACAACTTAAAATAATAAAGCTTAGAATAAGACTGTCTGTATGAGCCTGTTGCCTGCTAAGTATATTTCATCTGTTGCTCCCATGTTATTTCAAATCGATTTCCTTTGAATGAGGAACAGTGAGGACTTTCAACTATTGAATGTCTGTCTCTTTTGCTCAGAGCTGGAGTCCAAGGGAATTGTTCAAGGCTGTTTCTGTCTGGGGTTCTGGACTGTTCTTCTGTTGTTCCCTCAGCCTGGGACTTCCTAATGACCAACCACTCTGCTATTTAAAACCTGGAATAGAGAACATGGGATGATTCTGGCAAAGTGACTCAGAGACCTCTGACTCATGCAGCCCTACCGCAGAGATGACCAGCCACACTGCACCTTGAAACACTACAGAGGGAAAAATAGCAACCCTTCCCATTAACATCCAGGCCATAGACCAGCATGAGCTCCCAAGATCACTGTTAAACTCCTCCCTGGCAAAAGGGAAAGTTCACTCAGGCCTAATGGAAGCCTAACTGACCCACTGAAACTGGGGATTTAAGATTCAGCAAACTAGTCTGAAACCTGGCTTACCAATTTTAGGCATCAAATATGACATCTCACTGTCTGAGTTTGGAGCTTTTTGGAGACCAAGATGAAAATACCTCCAGAACCTGTAGAATATTTACCTACCTTATTCTGTGACAGAATGCATAGTCTTATTTGGGGGAGCATATGTTATTTTTGGTTAGCATATTCTTCGAAATGCTGACCACTTGCACTGAAGTATTTTTGAAAAAGGTGACTCTTCAAAGCCGTTCTGCCCAACCAATGAGAGTATGTGCAAACTATCTTCCAGGT